GGGTGCGGTGCGGGGTGGGGGGTGGCCGCCGGTCAGCGCCGCTGTCAGACAGGAAACAAAGCGCCGGAGGCGCCTTGAGGGACCTGGGTGACCCCACGGCCACTCCCCCGTGTGCTGGCACCGACGCACGTCAGAGACGAGGGCAGCGCGGCCCAGACCCGCCCGTGCGCCATCGCCGCTCCTCCCCCGCTGACCGCCAGGGCTGTGTCCACCCCCAGTGGGCAGAGGGGGGCAGCCTGCCCCGCCCCACCCCACCCAGCCGGGGACTCCTGTCCAACCCAGTTCCCGCGCATCGGGGCGGCTCTGAATGGTCATCTCCGGCCAGGGATCGTGGTCCTGGCCAGGACGCAGGTCGGGCAGGGAGACCGCAGGGTCACTACCGTCTGTGCTGCAGCAGTGGCCGACGCAGACCCTGCTGCCCAACCCCAGGGCGGGAGTGGCCTGGCCTGGGCCGTGGTCCTGGCGCGGTCCAGCAGGCAGCGCCGACGCGGGCCCAGGCCCACTGACCCGCCTCAGCCTGGCCGCAGCCTGGGGTCCGTGGGTCTGGCGCCCGGGAGGGCCTGCGGGCTCGGGGGGCGCGGAGGCTCGTCCTGGGTGCCAGAGGCCAGCGCCCGTGGGGCCAGGGCTGTGTGACGGGGCCAGGCCGGTCCTGGGGCCCTGAGCCGGCCGGCTACTCCCGGGCTCCCAGCTGAGGGCTGGGTGGGCCAGCACAGAGGTGAGGGCAGGCAGCTGCCCGAGGGCCGGCTGCCCTTCGCCGCACAGGCCAGCTCCGCCTACCCAGGCGGGCGGCTGGGAGCAAGGGCGGGTGCCCGTGGGCAAGGCCGCCCCGAGGGGGGCAGTGGCCCAGAAGGGCCTGGGCGCGCCACAGTGTGTCCTGGGCTCCGGGCTGCGGGACGGCGGGCTCTGCCCCTTGCCCCCCTGTGGTGTCCTGCAGCCTGAGGGTGGCACCCCCAGAGTTCAGAGCAACACTGAGGGGCCAGATCACCCCAGAAGGAGGCCCGAGCTGCAGTGCGCTGGCAGGATGGGGTGCAGGGACTCTGCTGAGGCCTGGGGGGACCCGAGGGCTCCCCGCCACAGCTCTAGAGATGTGGGTGCGGGCCAGAGAGGTGGATGACCTTCGGCCGGCCGGGCGGCCTCTGCTCCAGCTCCCTCTTGGGGCCCCAGGGTCTGTGGGGCTGTTTGGGGGGCTTGTCAGTCACCCCTCCCTGGCTCGTCCCGCCAGAAGGAGAGCTCCCCGGGACCCTTCTGGGGGCAGGTCCAGGCGCCGCAATGGCTGGACTCAGGCTGGACAAGCCCCAGCTCCTTCTCTGCCATCACCTGCCGCCCTCAGGTCTCAGGTCTGAGGTGAAGCAGCGGTTCGCGGGGGGCTCGACTGCCGGAGGG